CCTCTTGTGAGTCCGCACGGGTAGGTACCACCACACTGCCTATTTCTGCCGTGAAGCAGTAATGAAAAGTGTGGGACAGCCGTTGTAACTATACTTGAGACCTTAGAACTTATATCTCAGGGTGGGTGGCGCATTTACGTTGTAGATGTCTATGGGCCTCAGTAACCGCTAACATCAGGTGGGCTGTGAGCTCGTCCACCCATCTGAGGAATAAAAAAAAACGTTCTGACGTGATCTAACCAGCTCATAGTTTGCGTATTATAAATACGTAAAGCAGTTCCAATGTGCACTTGACGCAGCGATTGTCCAAACATCTCCATTAGCAAACGCGGACTCGGACGAACAGTGGAGACACCTTAAGGACCAGATCAATGAGACATTCGAAATGGTTAGCAACAAGCACCCTCTTACACCCTGCCCTAAACAGATCTGGATGTCAGATAAGACCTTGAAACTCATACAGGATAGGAANGTGACAGGAAAGGTAGATGGCAAACGTCCCAGAGGACGCAGTCCCACGAGATGGTCGGACCAAGTACGATCTTCTCTGAGCATCAATTTCCATAATGCCCTTCATGAAGCAAAGGATCGCGGCAGATGGAGGGAAGTCGTATGGGAGAAACTGATGCAGCGGGGGAGTCTCGACCCTCAGTAATGAGGAAAACGACGCGAGGAGGAGTTTGCGTACGAGCTTGATTCAATTTACCTGCTATCTTGATAAATTGTGACATAACTCGCGTAGACGTCAACCTGTGGAAATAGGAGTAACTTGATGATACGTGCGTGATGGTCGAACGATATTTTCTTCAGAAAAAATAAAGGCTGATAGGTACTCTTGTTTATTATTAACTAAATCTATTTACGTTAACATACAAATTAATGAGTGAATTGTCTAGCGTTAGAGAGTTAACTTTTATTATTAACCTATTTATATACATAAGCCTATACATATACACTATTTATAAATAGTCTGGCCATAAATACTGCTACATAAAAACTTTTCTTTTTTTTAAACTTTTTAATTATTTTGAATTTTGAATTTCTTTCGATTTTGCGCCATTTCACGTATTTTTTCGTGTTCATTATCAATATACAACATGGAATGGGGTGTTAAAGAAAATAGGTTTGCAGTGATCGCCTTGCACAAAGTAAGTACACATGTCGGTCATATTCTACACTTCGAATGCTTGGTATCAGCCGTATGTTCGTATATCGTACTATCAACAGACGCAACAGCACTTCGTCTGTCGAAGACCAGAAAAGATCGGGGTGGCCGCGTGCTGTTAGAACTACAAAGGCTGTTAATGCTGTTAAAGCTAGAATTCGTCGAAACCCCATTAGGAAGCAAAAAATCTTATCGCGAGAAATGAAGATCCCGGCTAGGACTCTGTCACGTATTATATAACAAGACATGAAGCTCGGTGCTTATCGTCGATATACAGGACATCCCCTATATCAATCTTTACAATTAAAGAGGGTGGATCGATCAAAACTCCTTCTGTCGCGATACGCAGGTGAAAGTTACAGAAATATCCTCATTACCGATGAAAAAATTTTAACGATTGAAGAACACTACAATAAGCAAAATTATGAAGTGTACGCTAACAGTTCTAAAGAAGCTGCTCAAGTGGTCGGAAACGTGGTCATCATCCTGCGTCAGTGATGGTTTGGTGGGAGGTGTCTTATCAAGGAGTAACAAAACTACATGTTTGTGAAAAATGAGTGAACACTTTAGCCAAACTATATCAAGATACAGTCTTGGGTCATGTTGTGAAACCTCTCGGCGATACACTTTTTAAAAATATACCGTGTACTTTCCACCTGGTCACAATGCACAAACTACCCAAGCCTGGCTTGAAACGAACGTTCCGGACTTTATACGAGCTTTATAAGAGGCTCTCATATAGCCCAGACCTCAACCCTTTAGACATCAAATTATGATCAGTTCTATAGGACCTGGTCTGCTATAAGCGACACGGCGATATTAGGTCTCTTAAAAATCTTTGGAGCGAGCCGTGGCGAAATCTCTCTTGGGAACAGTGCGTTAATCCATAGATACGTGGGCAAACAGATCAAAGGCCTGTATAAAAGCCAAAGGTGGCCATTTCGAATAGTATATTTTTTAATTTTTTGGTGAGTTAGATGTGTAGGTATAAATCTTTATAATATTACATTATATATAATGTTAATAAATATTATTTACAATTTCTAATGTGGACTAAGAACCTTTATTTTAATAAAAATTCACATGAAACACCTTTCATTTATACTATGTTTAGAAAATTAACGCGTGTAATTCGGCTGCGAAATTGTAACCCTCCATATTGTATTGTCTTAATTAGGAATGTTAGTTATGTTACTATAAGTAAGGTAAACTTTGGAACCCATTCTCCGTGAGCTTTCTGTTTATCGTTCAATTTCGAACAATCCGAGAGACTGTTGATACAATTTATTGTATTTAACTTCTGAAATGTCATGAAAGAAAACAATAAGTAACTTAATTGAACTCCCATAAACACAATGCCAACTGCCACGGAACTTTTTAATTGCAGTTTTATAGCTCGAGAGCTGTTGCAACAGGTTGTACGAACTTTTGTATTGTGATAAAGTAAGAAAACAAAGTAATTTCAACTTTCCAACTATGATCTTTCGAACAGCAAATAAAAGAAAATTTAAGTTATTTATTAATTTAAGTTTTAATTTTTTCTTGGAACGAAGGTCCTTACGGTAGGCTTGGAAGAGATAGGGATTTTGCTGCGCGACCGAACTGAAAAAAATGTGATAGTAAAAACCGTAAGAAAAAGTCCGTGGAATAAGGCCTTGTTTTCCGCACAGCGATATTTCAACGCGCGATTTTTTCTGCGCGACCGAACTGAAAAAAATATGATAGTAAAAACCGTAAGAAAAAGTCCGTGGAATAAGGCCTTGTTTTCCGCACAGCGATATTTCACCGCGCGATTTTTTTCTCGTAATTCTTTTTTCTTTTTTATGTGGAACTTCGTTCCTATCCGGTGTCCCACGACACCACACATCTCTTTTTTTTAAATATCATAGAATCAAAATTTTAAATGTCATTTTTAATTCTATGTTTTTGTCAATTGACTGCTGGTTGCTCGAATACACCCCTAATCATTTGGATGAGGTGAATGTATCTGGTAATGATTAATTTATAAAAATTGTTAGATGGTGACAATAACAGGGTGACCATGCATTGACTTATCAAGCGTTTTACTCGCATACTTGGGCTTTAGTTTCTGTGGGCGCACCTACGCCCTCGTCACCACTCGGTCATTCTCGGCGACGGAGGTGATCGCGAATCACAATGCAAATGGTGATTGTGTAGGTATTTCGCTTTCAAACATGCGAAGCTACTAATTTTCGGATTAATTAGTTTATTTTAGGTAGCGCTTTCTGCGGCTAAACTTTTACCGCCTCTAAATTTTTGGGCGTTGATTTTATGTGTCCATAGAAAATACACTTAACAATGTCACAGATAATATTATTATATGTACCTAAATTATTTATGCCGCGATCTCAAACTTCGAATTATAGGTTGGGATTGTTTTTCAGTATCATAACTAGATGGCGTTACTATCTGCCCTGCCTTTTCGGCGTCCATGATTTTCCCGCTAAGTTAACTTAATTTAAATTATTACATTGTTTTTTTAAGCTACGACAATAGTAGGTACTTACACTTTGGATATTAAATAATAAGTTTCCTCTAATTTATATTTCAGCAATAACATTTGAAATTTATATTGCCGTATTTTCTTCATTCTTCGTGATTTTTTTATTTTTTTTATTTTTTTTTTATTGCTTAGATGGGTGGACGAGCTCACAGCCCACCTGGTGTTAAGTGGTTACTGGAGCCCATAGACATCTACAACGTAAATGCGCCACCCACCTTGAGATATAAGTTCTAAGGTCTCAGTATAGTTACAACGGCTACCCCACCCTTCAAACCGAAACGCATTACTGCTTCACGGCAGAAANATTTTTTTATTTTTTTTATTTTTTTTTTATTGCTTAGATGGGTGGACGAGCTCACAGCCCACCTGGTGTTAAGTGGTTACTGGAGCCCATAGACATCTACAACGTAAATGCGCCACCCACCTTGAGATATAAGTTCTAAGGTCTCAGTATAGTTACAACGGCTACCCCACCCTTCAAACCGAAACGCATTACTGCTTCACGGCAGAAAGAGGCAGGGCGGTGGTACCTACCCGTGCGGACTCACAATAGGTCCTACCACCAGTGGTTACGCAAATTATAATTTTGCGGGTTTGATTTTTATTACACGATGTTATTCCTTCACCGTGGAAGTCAATCGTGAAGATTTGTTAAGTACGTATTTCATTCGAAAAATTGGTACCCGCCTGCGGGATTCGAACACCGGTGCATCGCAACAACGAATGCACCGGACGTCTTATCCTTAAGGCCACGACGACTCCGAAAATCGTCGTGTAAACATAATTAAAATCACTTCTATTATCCCGTTTTTAAATATCATTATACTATTTGCAACGTTTCGAATACTTTTCAGTTTACTTCTTCACGGCCGACCGGTTTAATTAGCGCTCACCGAATTATCGAAGATTTGACCATAATCACTGGAATTATGTTTTAAATTGTTTCTTTCGTTTCGTTATCGTCATTTTGAAGGAACTGAATATTTCTCAAATCTTGTTATGGATAGCATTAAAACTCGTGAAGCTTGGTGTTCGGACTTCTTGTGAGTCCGCGCGGGAAGGTACCACAGCCCTACCTATTTCTGCCGTGAAGCAGTAATATGTTTCGGTTTGAAGAGTGGGGCAGCCGTTGTAACTATACTTGAGACCTTAGAATTAATATACTATATAGATAACCAGGTGGGCTGTGAGCTCGTCCACCTATCTAAGCAATAAAACAGCTACTACGCAAATCGGTTGGGAAGCTGAAGATAATATGGTACTTGGTTAAATTGTCTTTGCCCATATAGAGACAGATTATTTTGTTTACAGATGGTGCACACGATGATGCCCATAGCTAGAACGATAGCGTTGGTTATCTCTGCTGTCCTGACGGTCGCCTACGCGGCTTTAGCGGTCGGGGTGCGTCCCGAGACCGAAGTGCATTTTTATCATCAGGTGCGTACATTATTTATTTATTTACTAGTAAATAAAATAAATATTTACTAACAATCACGCCACGTTAACTGGTCCCGGTGTTACAGGTACCAGATAACGGATATAAATGTAAGATTTTTATTATACACATACATATATTTAATATACATCCATAACCCTGGAAAAGACATTTATATTTATCATACAAATATCTTCCCTTGGCGGGATTCGAACCCGCGACCCCCTTGTGTAGTGACCATGTCACTTACCACTACACCAGACGGCCGTTAACTAGCCGTTACTAGTGGTCCCGTAGTAGTCGAAATTCGACTATAATTAATTGATATTATAGNATACACATACATATATTTAATATACATCCATAACCCTGGAAAAGACATTTATATTTATCATACAAATATCTTCCCTTGGCGGGATTCGAACCCGCGACCCCCTTGTGTAGTGACCATGTCACTTACCACTACACCAGACGGCCGTTAACTAGCCGTTACTAGTGGTCCCGTAGTAGTCGAAATTCGACTATAATTAATTGATATTATAGGTTTGAACATTATAATGGTTCTATTGTCAAAGACTATTATAGGTACTTCTATAATCACAGGTTTGGTCAAGACTACACTATAGACAAATAATACTAAAGATAAACAATATTAACCTTTTCTCAATTTGATCAGACTTTAAGCAATAACAAAAGTTTGACAGTAAGCAAAGAGTGTATTAGTTTCAAAGAGTGTAAAGAGTGTATGTGTGTCAAATACATGGTAGTGTGTGTAATGTCTTTTTTATTGATTTAATGTATTATTAATGCATAATTTAAAAACATATTAGCATTCTGGACTCCTTCTCTATATTCTTTATAAGCATGGGAAGCTTCATATTCCTTCATCCGCGCAATTATCGCAAAATGGGGTACAAAGTTTTTGCTTCACGTATTAATATATAGATTATTTACTACAAGGAGAACCAACAGCCAATTAACATAGTATAATAATGTAACAAATAATAGAAACAAAAAGACGATTAAAGGTCTTCACCAATATAAACAAGTTTAAACATTAGAGGAACAAAAACATAGAAACAAAGAAATCTATATATTAATACGTGAAGCAAAAACTTTGTATCCCTTTTTACGAAAATTGCGCGGACGGAGGAGTATGAAATTTTCCACACTTATAGAGAATACAGAGAAGAAGTGCACAATGCTAATATTTTTTTAAAAAAATGCATAAAAGATACTTTAAATCAATAAAGAAAACATTACACACACTACATACCATGTATTTGACGCACACACGCATGCATACTATTTATTGTCAAACTTTTGTCTTGACGTTGTGGTACAAATTGTGTAGCTGTGTGACGACAAATTGAGAATAAAATACAATCATAATAGTGTACAAATTTACAGTTCCAATTAATTATAGTCGAATTTCGACTACTGCGGGACCTCTAGTTAAAAACAATCAGCAAGCAAGAGACGACATAAGGAAAGGAGGAATACACCAGTCTAATTTAAATGTACACTTATATACATAGAAATGTCACAAATTAATAAAAATCAGTTGTGCTACATTACTAGAGCTTTTCACGAGCTGGTGTTTGCTTAACTTCGGGTGCAAATGAGCCTTATACGATGAGAAGTTCTCATCCTCTCGAAACACTGCGGTCTTCCACAGTTAAAGGTTTTTACTATGTTATCTATCTTTCCGCGCTGAATTTCCCTCTATCAAGATTGCTTGTCTTGAAACTAACCCTCGACACCTTCTGATGTCCTAAACGACGGTGAAAGACCCAGCATGATATGGCCTAGGTTCATCTGCCTACATTATGAAAATCTTCAGAATTAACCTGCCTATTTTTTGCCGTGAAGCAGTAATGCGTTTCGGTTTGAAGGGCGGGGCAGCCGTTGTAACTATACTGAGATCTTAGGATTTATATCTCAAGGTGTGTGGCGCATTTACGTTGTAGATGTCTATGGGCTGCGGTAATCATCCAAAACCAGGTAGGATGTGAGCTCGTCCACCCATCAAAGCAATAAAAAAAAAGTTTACGCTTATATTATACTAATAACGGGAACATTCTTTTTTGTAGCACCTATTTTCTTAGACGGGTGAACGAGCTCACGGCCCACCAGGTGTTAAGTGGTTTCTGGAGCCCATAGACATCTACGACGTAAATGCCACTACTCACCTTGAGACATGAGGTCTCAGTTTTCACAGTACAAATATTGCCATACCTTTTAAACCGAACCGCATTACTGCATCACGGCAGAATTTGATTGGTACATTGTAATTTAATTTCAATGTCGGTGTGTTTCTTGCTCTGTTCTGTGTGCTTAGTGCGAGCTTTTCAACATTCTCAATAGCGTAAAAGTTAACTCAAATTTGTATGCAGTTGGAACAGCGCCCCTAGCGGCAATCGTAGGCAAACTCCAACTGCATACAAATTTGAGTTAACTTTTACGCTATCGATAACGTTAAAAAACTCGAACTAAGTACACTAATCCTGTACCGACCGGAACGTTCAAAATCTTCGAATTACAAGCAACTAGGTAGATTTTAGTGTAGTAGTATGTATTTATTACCTGTCAACAGTCCCTGTCACTCAGTTCAGACGTGGTTACCTTCTCGTCCCGCCTAAAAACCTGTTCGACATATCGAAAGAATCTGTACAAGTATGTAAATCGATGAATTCTGTCTGTAAACACAGCTTTGTTATCTAGAAATTAATAGTTTTAGTGCCCAGAAGCCGTCTAACTAATCTCAAATCGAATTTTCCATGCCATTACGTAGTCTTAATCAATCCAATCCAATTTCTCTTTTGCGGTTACTCGTGAAGTCGTTTTTATTAAAACGGAGGATTGAGATCGCGATGGTAAAGATTGGTAAAGTTAGATATTTTTTTTAAGCGAAGATGGTCACCAAGTTCACGGCCTAACCTGGTGTAGTAGTAGTAGTCGTCGTGGCCTAACGGATAAGACGTCCGGTGCATTCGTGTTGAAGCGATGCACCGGTGTTCGAATCCCGCAGGCGGGTACCAATTTTTCTAATGAAATACGTACTTAACAAATGTTTACTATTGACTTCCACGGTGAAGGAATAACATCGTGCAATCAAAATCAAACCCGCAAAATTATAATTTGCGTAATTATTGGTGGTAAGACTTCTTGTGAGTCCGCACTGGTGGGTACCACCGCCCCGCCTATTTTTGCCGTGTATCAGTAATGCGTTTTGGTTTGAGGGTGGAGCAGCCGTTGTAACTATACTGGAGACCTTAGAACTTATATCTCAAGGTGGGTGGCGCATTTACGTTGTAGATATCAATGGGCTCCAGTAACCACTTAACACCAGGTGGGCTGTGAGCTCGTCCACCCATCTAGTAATACTCCTATCGGAGGAGCTAGGGAATGAGGAGTAGCAGATAGCTAGATAGCTACCGGATAGATAGATTCGCAATTAATAGCCGAAGAGACTATATAATAAAATTCCCTCAGCGAACTAGTGAATCAGTTTGGTTATTATTCATCTACCTTCAAGTAGCTTAGTATAAACTAAGTTCAAAGTCAATTAAAACATAAACGCGTGTACCTAAGTAGCTTTAAAGTTTTCCCTCGTTCTAAGTTTCAACGCGTACGAAATAAACAAAGTAACGTTCCGTTTATCTTTTGCAAAGCTCTGCACGAACTTTTTAAACTTAGTTTCAAATGAAATCAGTTGTTACAGTGCTCTTAACTTTGTTTAGTCTTAGCGTGTGTTGTTGTTTGCTTATTGTCTGTAGTTTGTTACTATGTAGGAGGAACTTACAGGATTAAGCTTAAGTTTTTTTGATTGCATAGATGCGGGAACGAGCTCACAGAGCATCTAGTGGTAAGTGGTTAGTAGAACCCATAGAAATCACAACGTTGATGCATCCACCCACCTCAAGACACATTCAAGTCTCTGTCTATTGAAATCGTCGTGGTCTAAAGGATAAGACGTCCGATGCATTAGTGTTGAGCGATGCAACGGTGCTCGAATCCCGCAGGCGGGTACCAATTTTTCTAACGAAATACGTATTTCCTAAATGTTCAAGATTATAATTGGCGTAATTACTGGTGGTAGGACCTCTACTGAGTCCGCACGGGTAAGTACCACCACCCCGCTTTTTCTGCCGTGAAGCAGTAATGCGTTTCGGTTTGAAGGGTGGGGCAGCCGTTGTAACTATACTTGAGACCTTAGACCTTATATCTCAAGGTGGGTGGCGCATTTACGATGTAGATGTCTATGGGCTCCAGTAACCGCTTAACACCAGGTGGGCTGTGAGCTCGTCCACCCACCTAAGCAATAATTATTATTTTTTGTCAAAATCGTCCTGCATGTTTTCTTCAATGCTACAGTTCTCAGATTCAACCAATTAATCGATTTGTAGGATCATGTAATCGTTTCTTAACCGGCCCTATTAACGGTGAGGGTTTTGTACGTCAATATCCTGAAGTGATTGATTTACGGGCATTGGTGTCGGTGACGGGTCGGTTTAATCGATTATCAATAAGGTTTTGAGTGGTGGCCTTAACACGCAGGACCTTATGTGTAAAGGATTCAACCCTGAAGTGCTATTGACTTGTATGACACGTTGGCAGCGACAATGTTAGGTCTAATGAACTCACCGAATCAAGAAGGGAAGTGGATAGTGCAGTGGCTCCTATTTCGATAATATTTAAGCCACCATCGACAAGACATTTCGATTGATATTGAACTTTTTTTTTATGATTGATGAAAGGCGATTGCATGCAATAGAGATGCGAATGTTGCGATGGATGTGTGGAATAACGAGAATGGATAGAATACGGAATGAATATGTTAGAGGAAGTCTGAAAGTGGCACATGTGACAGAGAAGCTGAGAAGTGCGCGTTTGGGATGGTATGGACATGTGATGAGACGAAATGAAAATGAGGTTGGTAAGAAAATGTTAACTATGAATGTGGAAGGATATAGTGGAAGAGAAATGGATGGATTGCGTG